CATCTAGATTGTAGAATACAGAGCAATAAATGCATGTGCTGATCAAAACCAAAAAAAGTAAAACAAAATGTGTATCTTTGTGCAATAAGTTTGTTCATGACTCATGAGCATGAACTATTCTGAATTTAAGGCTGAGGGGAGTGATGTTGACGATATAGGAATTGGTGAATTTGAACTTTCTTGAATATGTTGGAGAGGTTGAAGCCCTTAAAGAGTTAGAAGTTTCTCTTAGTTTTATTGTAGGACTAGAACTCAGGGTTGTGTTGAACCTGGAATGTTGGCTTGCTAGTTTCTTCATCATCATCATCATCATCATCTTCTTCTTCTTCTTCTTCTTCTTTTTTAAAAGGTAAAATATCATTTTAATGACGAGAATAATCAGAAATATTTACAATGTGACCTATGTCCAAACTCCAAAGAGTTTCTGTACAAAATAAACACTTAAACAAAACAAGAACTGTGACTTCAAGGAGTAATAAAATAACAAACAAATCATGGCTAGGAACATCTTTGACTAGTCTGTGGGCTGTGAAGCCATGAACAGAGGGAGTTGACTCTGACTGTAATGTTGATAATTGCTTCTACTTATTTCTTTTTTCTGCTAAAAAACGGGTGTTTCTTTATAGTTTTTAGTCATATCAACCATATGACTGCCAGGGGTATGGAGGTCCACAGAACCTTGCTTTTCTTGATCAACCCTTTTGAAGACATTAAATACAATAAGTCATAAGTGGGATTTCTAGTCCTTATTTCAATTAGGAATTTACGAAGGGGGATTGTATTCTTTTATTAGGAATATATTGTAGTTGGATTTAGAAATTGATTGGAAATAGAATATGTATCTAGGTTGGTGTATTTTATATGTAATATAGGATTCTTCAACTCTGGGTTTTTGTTATTGTTGAATTATTTGATTTGTTGGGAATTGTTGAGTTTAATATTGATAATAAAGATAAAAGGATAGCTGTAGACAAAAGCACTGATAAAAAAAGCAGTTGTAGACAAAAGGGGGTTACTCCCTACCTACACAGTGTTGATAATGTTTGTATAATTATTGATAAAAAAATGTATAATTACAAAGGTTTTGAATTTGTTAATTATCAGAAAAGGGAAAAGAATAGTTCAGTCTATGGAGAGAAAAGAATATGCTTTGTGGATCTATGACTGAAATGAAAAAATTTAAGTAGTTGATGAGGGATACAGATGTAAAATTGCAATGGATGCATCAGTCAGCCAACAGCATGGCTGACTCCTTAGCAAAACAAGGGGTGGGGAGAGACCAAATATTTTGGGCACAGTTGAAAAAAAAAAGTGAAAAAGGGTGGGGTGAAGGGGAAGAGAGTATGGGTAGATAAGACACCTTACCTCTACTTATAAAAAAAGACACCTTATCTCTACATCAATCTGCACTTTTGTACTTCTCTTTGCTCTTTTGATCAGTAATAAAATTTTGTAGTAAGTGGATGATACACTTTTCTTTGCCAATGCATCCGAAGAACAGATGGAGATTATTAGAATGGTTCTTATTTGGTTCGAAGTGGTCTCCAGGCTAGAGATTAATATGCACAAAAGTGAGATAATAGCGGTGGCTGATGGAGCTAACATAGATTTTTTGGTGGATTCGGTGGAATGTAAAATTTGGAAAACTGCTGACTAAATATTTAGGGATGTTATTTATCAAAAAAAGGGATGCTTATTTATCAAAAAAAAAAAAAAAGAGATGGCACTTGGAGAGTGATGCATATCTAGGAAGATTTGGGGGCCAGTGGTGGAAAGGATTGAGAAGTTAGCCTCTTGGAAGCCAAGATATTTGTAAAAGGGTGGAAAATTAATACTAATGAAAAGTGTTCTGTCTTCACTTCGTACTGATTTGTTATCTCTTTTATCCATCCTGGCTAGTGTAGCCAAGTTATTGTAAAAGAAAATGGGAGACTTTTTATGGAAGGTGTGGAAAGAGGAGTTCAAGTTTCATTTAGTCAAGTGGAGCAAAGTTTGTAGGCCAAGAAAGGCAGGGGGTTTAGGGATAAGAATTAGAAAATTTAATGTGGCTTGTTTAGGCAAGTGGTATAAGAGATGGAATGAACAGCCCACAAGTCAGTGGAGAAGAATAATAATGGCAAATATGGGTCAAGAAATTCTAATTGGGAGCTGGGAGAATCCAGTTTGCCATATGGATGTGCAGTGTGGAGGGGGGGGGGGGGTTACAGAAATCAGCAAGGGAATTCAAGCAAGGAATTAAGTTGGAAGTAGGAGAGATGGGACAAGGATCATCTGGCAAGATGTGTGGTTTGGAGATTGCCCTCTCGAAGATATATTTCCAACTTTGTTTGAAATTGCAATTAATAAGGAGTGCTTGTCTCGGAGATATTTTCACATGGAGGGGTAGGAGAATGGTGCCCCACTTTTAGAAGGAATTTAAATGACTGGGAAATTGAACAATGGGTGGAATTAATGCAAAATTTTAGTACAGTCGGGGTGCATAGATTAATAAGTGATAGAAGAATTTGGGTGGGGGAGAGATCAGGCACTTTCACAGTAAAGTCTTTTTATAACAGACTGTGCAATGAAAGGGGGGGGGGGGTGGGTTCCTGAGAGCAGGGTTTGGTTATTGGTAGCTCCTCTCAAAGAAGCCTTTTTTATGTGGGTGGCAATGTCGGGGAAGTTTTTAACAGCTGAAAACCTGTCGAAGAGAGGGATGATGGTGGAACCTAGCAGATTTGTAATGTGTGGGGAAAACTCTGAGGGGGTGGAACATCAATTCATGCACTGCAAGTTTGCAAGGGAGCTGTGTTTGAAGTCATTGAGGCTGTTTGGAGTATAGTTTTATTTTCCAAAAGATCTGTTGGCATTATCATGGAGCTGGAATCTGACAGGTTTGTCTAGGAAAGAAAAGATTTTATGGGAGTAATGCCAGCAGCAGTGCTGTGGTCAATATAGACAGAGAGAAATAGGAGTCTTTTTGAAAACAAATTCATACAGTAGACACAATATTAAAAGGTTTTTGGGGAAGAATATACTCTTGGGAGGCAGCACACAGGCTTCTCAAGAATATACCATATAACTCTTTTTTTGATTTCATTTGTCTTTTTGTATGTAGATGATTGAAATGGGTTATTGGGATGTAGAAAGAAAATGCTTGCCCTGCCCAATGCCTTATTGTGCAGGATTTTGTATATGTTATGTTTTATCATTCTAATGAAATACTTTACCTTCTATCACCCAAAAAAATGAAGTTATTGATTAAAAAGGTAGAAGAATATGATGTTTGTGCATATTTTTCCATGGACATGTGATTTGTGTCCAATAATCATTTTTCTGACACAATTTCTAGGGCTCATCAGTCACAGCTCTATAGATTGATCATCTCCACACATTGATGCCAAATTATCACTTGTTCCCCAAAAGATTTGCTCCCTATTTATCCCTAGTCTGGGAAGAGAATCAACTAAGCGCTTAAACCACTTGCCAATCTCTGAATCCAAGTTAATCTTCTATTCAGAACTCTTGGAAACTGCCTGATCTCCTTCATATTTTGTCTAAACCACCACGAGCCAGGTTTGTTATTTTATCCACGTTCTTATAGTCCTTGGATCACCTTCTACTTGGAGATTTGTGATGCTGAGTGACCTTCTGTATCTTATTCCATAAAGTAACGCAATCAGGCCTTCCAGTTGATGCCAACATTATTGGCCATTAATCTGTTATTAGCAGCTGCAAGTTCTGTATTAATTATCAGTTTAAGGGCCATCTGATAACAGCTGATGTGGCTGAACTGAATTACTTATTGCTTTGTCTTTTAGTTGATAAAGTAATTTAATAAGAAAGTATTAGAGAGCATACCATTCAATGCAGTTTCAGCTTCAGCTGTTAAGGAGTTTACAGCCTCCTTAATAACTTATTCACTACAAGACAAAACAATAAGCAATTCATTTTAACCACTTCAGCTGTTGTCAAATCAAATGGTCCTTAATCTATTGACTTAGTGCAGATTGGTTTAAAATATAGAGAAGCTTATGCTATCATAAATTTTTTGTTTGTTGGTTAATACTTTTATAAAAATTCAGCATTGTTCCTATTTTTTGATGAATAGCTGGTTTGTGCTTATTTAAAAGGAAAACATACAGTTAATATATGCAGGTTGAGTACTTAAGTTTATATCTGTTTATCTTTTGTTAACCAGCCTATGCTGCTCTCCTTTCAACCAACCTTTGTTTGTGAATCCACTTCTACGAGCAGATTCCTGAACTCTAAGTCCTTGCTACCAGAGCCCATATCAAGCACTGGTTGGAGTTCTGCTCTTATAGAGTTCTCTACATTTATTGGGCTTAAGATGGCCAAAAGAATGGCTCCCCTGTAGTCTCTGAAGACACCTCCTGCACCCTATTCACCTGGATTACCCAAACTACTGTCATCAAAGTTAAGATTAATTCAAATATGTGGCAGGGCTGTCATTGATACCACATCCCTGTCCCTTGTTGAAGATGCTGCTGCTTCCAAATCAATAGTGAAACATGAAAGTTCTTCTATCCAATGGGTCTGTTTTTTGTCAAGTCTATAAGTCTATTAGGTTCCCTTTAGAATTGGATTTATTTGTGAAAATTGTCATATTTCGTTCTTCCTATATAGTCCATAAGATGGATTCTCTTGTGTATCTCTTCAATATCTTTCCTCTTGTTTTCTGATCTTATTGTTAGAGTAATTTTCATGTGCATATGTAACCTCGTTAAGGACAAGGTTGATCCTAGAACAATAAAAAGAACCCCCATTATTTTTGGGACCAGAGCAAAAGGAGCCAAAATATTTTGGTGTTTTACTTCTTTGCATATTGCTACTTTTAATACATGTTGGTTCCTGGTGATAACAGATGGTTCCCAGTTTTTGTTTAAATAATAGGTGGTATTCCTTAAATTTCTGAAGTTTTCAAATTTGCATTTTGTCTTAATCATCTTGAAAGTATCTGTCAATGTTGCATAAAACTTTGTTGACTTTCTTTTCCCCAGACTTTGTAAAATGACTGAGTCTTGGATGGAACAACTTATGGAAAGAACTGTGGCGAAGGGACAAACAGTGGATGACTTGTTAAGAAGAAGCGCTGGTATTCCTGCTGCATTCATTGCTCTTTTTCTGTCAGAGCCAGAAGGAACACCAAAGAAACTCCTGCCACGGGCACTGCGATGGCTAATAGATGTTGCTAACATGTCATTTCCCATTCCAACTCAACCTAATAACCAGAATGGTGACTTGTATACACATTTGTCTCAAGAAAACCAAGAACCTTTGTGTGCTCAACCAACACATGTGGATTTGAATCAAAAGAACTCAAAAATACGAGATGAGGGTGTCATTCCTACAGTGCATGCATTTAATGTCCTTAGAGCTTCTTTCAATGATACCAATCTAGCAACAGATACATCAGGTTTCTGTGCTGAGGCTTTGATCATTGCAATACGTTCATTCTCTTCTCCTTATTGGGAGGTTCGAAATAGTGCTTGCCTTGCATATACTGCATTGGTCCGTCGCATGATTGGATTCCTAAATGTACAAAAACGTGAATCAGCACGACGTGCTTTAACTGGGCTTGAATTTTTCCACAGGTATGGTTGCTTTCTCTATCTTTCTGTTTCTTCACTGCAAATTATTTTCTGTAAGAGTAAGAAAAGATATGTCTATTGCAACTACCTGGTATTTGGTAATTGGGAAATGAATGAATATGATTAATTTCTATTTAAAATCATTTTATCTAGAAAATGAATGAATTTGATTACTTCCTATTTGGAACTGTATAATTGATTTCATTGCTTTAGAATGATTGAATGTTGATGCAGAAATTTATATTATGGATAAACAATGTCTTTTCTCATTGTTTTTTGGCTTTATATTCTTTAAGGGTTGAGTATATCTTTATTCCACCCGGTGTACTATTCTGTCTGACACATTACATTAGATGCGATTCAGACCAATAAAATTAGCAGAAATATTTAGATTAGAGCAGAAAGAAGGAAGGAAGAAGAGGAAGACAGCAAGAAGAAGGAAAAGTGGAGAAGAAGGGAGGAGTTCGATAATCTCCTCTTTCCTCTACTCTAATCTTTTTATTAAACTTACTTAAGTTACATAATTTACGAGGCCCTTAAGTAGGCGTCCACATCAGCAATACACTTAAAAACAAAACAGAAGCTAAAAGGCCCATAAAGAAAGAAGGCCCAATAAGAAAACATAACAAGAAGGAACTAATAAGAATGACACTAAAGGACTAGGGCCTATTCGGCCCAGTCTCTCTACAACATTCTATGAATTAATAGTTCTGTAGTTAGTTGTCTCATGTCTGTCAACATTAATGTTTGATCTACTATATAGATTGGTGTTTTGAGTATACCTTTATGCAGTCATGCTCTTATTTTTTTTCTTTTCATGGATAAAGTTTTTCTATTTGATATTTTTTTAGCTAAGGACTATACATAACAAGTCCACTCAAGATGCATAAAACTGGAATCATTTAATGTGTTGGATTCATGTTTTGCTGAGCTAATCATGTTTTACATTAGGCGTTTGAAGTACAAACAGCGGTTACTTGGTTTATTTTACTTAATGTATATTTCAATGTTTTCCTGTCCCCTATATTGTTCAATCCTCTCTAAGTACTGTTTTTCAATATGATCATATCTACAACATGCATCAACCTCACGTTAGCAGTGCTTGTTCTTTAGTTTCTTGCATGTTGGGGAGAAATGAATGTTTCTACCTGCACAAGTGAATTGATTTTTTTGAGTTTAATCTTTGGTTGTTTAGAGAACTTGAGTTATAAGAACAATGCTTGTAAACGTTTAAAGGAATTTCATCTCTGCTTGGTTATGAAGAAAAATGTCTAAGAGAACGTTTCATGGCTAAAAAAGTAGACAGAACATATCAAGTTCTTTTTTTTATTGGAAAATAAGGCTTCCCTAGTAAATTTTAAGAAAACAAAAGTAGTTAAGTAAGATAAAGCTTTTCTTATACATGTCCTTTTCTAACCAACCAACCGAAGTGTAATGGCTTAAGATGCTCCAGGTATCATGAGTGCTTGATACATGTCTTTGATTATGTCAAAATCTTCTCCTAAGCATCAACTAATAGAGATTTTCTTGCCTCAAGGTATCCAATACTGCACCCTTTTTTCTTCAGTGAATTAAAAGTTGCAACAGAGTTTCTTGGAGATGGGTCTTGTTCTGAATCCAATATGGCAAAGGTTGTGCACCCAAGCTTGTGCCCCATGCTAATTCTTTTATCTCGACTTAAGCCTTCTACAATCAGTAGTGAAACTGAAGATGGCCTGGATCCCTTCCTATTCATGCCTTTCATCAGGAAGTGTTCAACACAAAGTAACCTCCGGGTTCGTGTTCTTGCATCAAGAGCTTTAACAGGCCTGGTATCTAATGAGAAACTACCCAGTGTTCTGATAAATATTGCCCACGAATTGCCACATAATAGAAATGGCACGAGTAGCAGATCTGCTTCATCTAGCTCAACCAATGGAGGCTATCATACCCATGTTACTTCATTTAATTCTATTCATGGAATGCTATTGCAGTTAGGCTCTCTGTTGGATAACAACTGCAGGAACTTGACAGATGTCTCTAAGAAAGAAGAGATTCTTGGGGACTTGATTGAGCTACTTAAGACTTCTTCATGGATTGGCAGCCCTAAGTTGTGTCCTTGCCCCATCCTTAACAGCTCATATTTGCAAGCTTTGGATCACATGCTCAGTATTGCGAGAAGATGTGGGATAAGAAAACATGAAGGTTCCATTTGCAATACCCTCTTAGAACTTTCTTTGATATGCTTAAATGCAGATGTTTCTCAAATGGTCCCATTTTATGACCCAACAAAGACAGAACTCCACAAGCAAGCATCCACTTCATATTTCAATTGTGTGTTTCAAGCATCTAATGAAGCACCTGAAGAAGATTTTCAGATGCCTCATATATTTTCCCATCCTGCTTTGGATTTGTTTAAGGTGCCTGAAACTGAGCCTGCTATTGCTGAACTGCAGGAAAGGTTAATCCTTTCAATATCTGATGCATTATATGAAGTTCGTCTTGCATCATTGAAGTGGCTTCTTTTGTTCCTGAAATCAACAGCATCTAGTGGGGATAATGATCTATCTGGAAGTGGAATTCACATCATCTACCACTGGGCTAAGACTAGTCTACAGCCAACCATGATGCAACTATTAGATAGAGAGGAGAACCCTAGATGCACTTGTTACTTGCTGAGGATCCTTTTCCTCTGGAACTTGATTCAGTTTGAAAAATCAGGAAAGCATCAATATGTGGAGTCCGTTTATGTTGGCGTGATGGATTTTGCTTCCTTGTTTGAGTTCTGGAATAAGTTAATATTGTTGAACAAGGTTGCAACTCACACAAAAACTCGGGAGGCACTAATGCGTTGCATGGGGATATGTGCAAAACGGTTTTCATGTTTATTTATGACCTCTGTTTTTTCTGATTTAGGGGGAAAGAAAATCTTTGATCCTAGCAATCTTGACCAATCAGACAGTTGGAACCACATCTACAGATGCATCAGATTTTTTATTGACTTAATCAAGCAATATAGTGCCTCATCTGAGCCTGTCAACATGCGGAAGGCAGCTGCAGAATCCATTGTAGCATCTGGATTACTGGAAGAAGCTAGTTGTATAAGTTCTTTCATCTCCAACACCCAAATCCCTTCCGAAGAAAATCATGCTTGCTTTGATCCGTCAGAAGCTGTAAACACTTATGGTCGCACCCTACTAGATTTGTGGTTCACATGTATCAGGCTGCTGGAGGATGAAGATGTCGGGCTTAGACAGAGGTTAGCCTTTGATGTCCAGAAATGTTTTACTCCCAAGGAATCTGGAAAAAGTCATCAAACTGGTTTTGTTCCTACCCAAGTAGAGAAAGTGATTGAATCAAGTTTTGATTTTCTGTCTTCAGCATTTGGTCACTGGTTTCAATACTTTGACTATCTTTCACGATGGGTTATGGACATTGGAAGCTGCACAGTAGCCAGAGGAGATCTGGTTAGAAGGATATTTGATAAGGAAATCGATAACCACCACGAAGAGAAGTTGTTGATTTGCCAACTTTGTTGTTTCCATTTGGAGAAGCTTCCAGTGTTTATGGTAGGTGACCCATCGTACAAACATGAGGTTAGGAATTTCTTGCAGAATTGGAGAATGAGATTTTACCATCAGTTGATATCATGTTCTAGTGACTATCTTCCAATAGAGGGTGGAATTGATTGGATAGGTGGAGTGGGAAACCACAAGGACTCGTTTATACCAATATATGCAAATATGCTTGGCTTTTATGCCCTCTCATGGTGCCTCTATGGTGGAGAATTTGAGGTTGGTGATCCTCTACTTCCAAACCTTGTTGAACTTGGAGAAAAAATTAGACCATTCCTTAGGAACCCTTTAATTTCTAACCTGTATCTGTTTCTGATTCAATCCCATGAGAAAATGCTTGGTGTTGCTATGGGCAATTCAGGTCCCAAATCCTACAGTGAATTCACATTCACATGGGAAGGTTTCAATCCTTATTTTCTTCTGAAGTAGCATTTAATTTATGGTACAATTTTTTCATTCCCTTTCAAGGTGATTTAAAGGGACTGTATATTTTCAAAAGAAGCGATAATAGAAAAATTTACAGAGGGTTTTTATTCATGCATCCTACTTGAGCTACGTACCTTTGTTATGGACTTTTTTTGGTGACCGAGTGTGTGTGTTAGTCAAGGTTGTAGGTTGTGGTTTCGAAAGAAATACAGGTTCCAACTACCAGGTGCAGCTCATCTCATAACTGCAAATGAGTGTTACAGTTCAGTGCAGAGTTGATTTAAAATGATTATAGTGTGAATGTAATATGTTTCTACCTAATCATGGAAACCCAAATGGTCAATCAATGATCAAAAGCTAGTTTTATCCTTTGAGTTCTTTCCAACAGATCAAAACAAAACAAGGAAATGCCCTTTTTTGTTTTTTCTTAATTGGCAAAAAATGTATTTTTTTCTTTTTTTTTTTAATTATTCTGCAAAACAAGGAAGTAGCTACGACTACAATATCATATTAATCATTGGGGCATCAAGTTTTGAATGGAACAGCCAATTTTGGGGACGTTGTGACCTTAAGGTAGTCGTCCCACAGGATCTCTTTTATACGGAGAGGTTTGCAATCAATATAAGGAGGACAATTATTGTTAGATTTGATAAATAGTCAAAAATGAACTATTTGGGTCTGAAATCTAAAAAGAAATGGAATTGATGTTTTGCGTTTTTAGAGATTCTGAAAAAAATAAAATCGTTTGAGTTGAAGCAATTCTCCAACTTCTGAAACTGTAAGTTTACTATTTTATTAATAGAAGTAGACTGTTTGAAAATATTACAAATAATAAAAATAATGTTAAATAAAAATACTATATTATTAATAAACAAATATTATAATTTGTTGAAATAAATAATGGGTTATTATTTAAATAATAATATTATTTATTTATATAAAAATAATATTATTCATTATTGAATTAATAATAAATATTTAATAATGTTACTAATTTAAACATTTTATAATCATTATTATTAAGTTTAGTAAGTAAATATTATGACAATATTATTATTTGTTTAAATAAAACATAATATTATTTATTATTTAAGTAATCATAAAAATTTAAGAATAATAATAATTAGGGTAAATCTCGTACACTACTACTGTTTATAAAATTGACACACGGTACCTTACTGTTTAGCTATTGACTATTGTCTTGCTATTCTTAAGTTTTCTAGTAGTTGGCTAAAACCTCCATTGTCGTTAATTTTTCATCACACTCTATTCACATGGGACATCACTTAGTGGTAATATATTTTAAAATTCTTAAAATACGTTTGTTGTTCACCGTCGCTGTTGGAATCAGCGATTTTCCAGCAGGGTGATTGGTAATCATTTTAAAATAATTTGTGTAAGAGGGTTATCTCAGTTGGGCTGGTTTTCCGACAAATTCTTAATATGCGAAGAGGTGAGGTGGAGAGGGAGAACGAAGAGAAGGGGTGGAGGAAGAAATCACCGTTGCAAATTGCAGGCTTGCAGCGGCAACGGTGATTTTATTGTCGAAAACACTGAACAAATCACTAAAAAAAGAGTTTTATGGGAGAGTTTCCGAAGAAAAGTTCACTAAGAAAAGTTTCCGAATCAGCGAGTCCGTCGAGTGAGATCGGGAGCTAACGGGATCATATGCTATGCTTTCCCAAAAAGAATCCAGATCTACATCTACTACTGCTCCACCAGATCTGTTCAGAACCGCTTAGATCTACTACAACGACAATTGAACTTCATTACTCACAAAGATGATTCAGTTACTGTTCCTATATCTTTTTGCCGAAGGCATTGCGGCATTTCTTCCTATGGTGAAGATCAAGCCGCTGAGAGAGCTGGTAATGAAGGGCTTCGCCATCGCTCTCTGCTGCTGATACTTATCACCCAAGTCCTTCAAACAATCTCCAACTTACCAACCATCTTTCCACGAAGGTGCCAATGCTGGAGGGGGTCGATGTAGACGACGGTGGCGGAGCTGAACCCGACTCCAACGATTCATACTGTTAATCGAAAAACGCCTCCACCCTTGCTCTGACTCTTTTTAAGGATTTACAGACCCTTTCTCCAACCGGCACCTCCACCCTTGCTCCGACCCTTTGTCTCTAAACCAAAAGGTAAGAAATTATAGAAAGCGACACCTCCACCTTTGCCCATCCTTCACCTCCGATCATCTCTCTTTTTTTCTCTTTCTCTCTCTCCACCTATCCCTCTATCTTCTTCTTCCCCTTATTGGTTTCTGTAATTAACTTGGAAACAAAGCACCACCACCAACATTGAACTTTCCCTCTATCTTCTTCTTCTTCCCCTTGTTGGTCTCTATAATTAGCTTGGAAGGGGTGACGCTAAAGCTTTGAGACAAGGTGAAGTCCAGGTGCTGCAAGAGGCTATTTATCTCATCTGTCTTCTCAGGGAACATGTCATGATGATCAGGTTTTGGAGAAAGATGGAGCTTTGGTGGTGTGTAGTAGCAACTAGCTGGAGCAGTACCTCGCCATCCCTGCTAATTCAACTACAAACGGTGGCACAATTTACAAGTATTGGAGAATTGCCAAGTTAGTCTTCAAAATCATTCTGACCTCCATCACCCTTCGAAAGATATTTGTGTTGGGTTGCCTGTTTTATTTCGTTGAGTTCTTACAACGGAAGTCTAATATTTCCGACTTCCCTTGCAGTTATCTTTTGTGCCCACCGGTTATGTCCTTTAGTTGCAGCTATCTTCTGTTTTCCAGCCCTTGCAATTGAGTCTTAAGCCAGCAAGTGATTTCATCATATGCCCAGCCCGATATTACAATACTCTCCAGCGGTAGAATGAATCAACGGATTACTGGTTGTATGTAGTAATATGTCTGTGTTAACACAATTTGTCGAATTTCACTTGAATAATTGAGTATTTTGTTGCTCGTTTTGTTAGGTGTGTGTAACAGTTGGCAGAATTCAAGTAGAAGGTTGGAGAAGAAACAGAGAATGATGTCTCAAAGAAGAGGTTATGGTGTCAGAATCCGATATAGTAGCTATGATACAAAATAAGATCCCTGCGGTTGCTGTTGTCGGAGGTTCCGAGGCAACCGAACCAAACCAAGAAAGTTATAACACCAGCAACACCAACAATGCAAGATTCATGGGTTTTATTTTGAAATTTTGATAAATAGTGAAGGGTAAATTTGACATTTCACTTCCTTCCGTTACCACTTGCTACAATAACAATTGTAAAAAAACTTAAGGGTACTGCAATATAATAACTAAACATTAAGGGTACTGCATGCCAATTTCAATAGGGGTAGTTTAAGAGGTTCACCCTAATAATTATTAGTAAATAATATTTTTTAATATTATTAAATAATATTTGATATTCTTATTGTTGCATGATTTGGTGCTCCCTATTGGCAGACAATCCGGACGTCGGATTGAGTAGGTTGCTTGGTCGAGCTGCAAGAAGAGAGAGATCCGAGTGTTCGGGTTGCTTTACCTGTGGTGGGCACTCCGATGCTTAAGTTAATGATGAGTTGTGAGAATTGAAAAGCTTGAGAGCAAGAGAGCTATTAGTGCTGAGTTCTGTGTACATTTTTTGAGGAAGGGGGTGCCTTTATATAGGCTAATAGTCATGAGCTCCATGAAATGCACCTGGGATCTTTGGCCCGTCTGGTTTGAAAGTGGTTTCATGCCTAGAGATGGGCTTTGCATATGTGGGCAGTGCCTATCCGATCGCGCTCAAAATGGGCGGGGCGGTAGTTAGCTCCGTCTATGTGGTGTTGTGATCTTGGGGAAGTCGGAGGTCGCTCGTCATGTCACATAGACCGCTAACTAAATCTTTACTAGGTCGGCGGAGGCAGGTCGCCTCTTATGCAGACCTGACATCGGCCGACCTATCTGTAGTCCGACCTGCCGAGGTAGGGCTAAGGATCGGTGTCACCTCTTACACTGATCTAACATCGGCCGATGTATCTATATTCCAACCTGCCGAAGTGGAGCCGAGGAGTTCACAACAGATGCGATGTGTTTGTCGTGCTCCCAAAGTCTTACACTGACAGTTTTGTGGAGCCATATGCCATGATGCCATTGGAAGGTCAAATAACCCCTCATCACTTATTAGTAGTAGATGACGGTAATGATGCCATTAACATCATTTCATCACTTCTAAAATGCATATGACACAGTTTTGTGAGCGTTGTGAGAATAGTGTTAGGGCGAAATTCGATCTCCTTTCATATATATATTAGCGGAGGGGGCCCTGTATTGCAGGGGCTCGCTCATAAACTATCAGGCTCGAGCTCGATTGGAATTAGAGACTTGAGCTCAAGTTCGGTTCAAGTCAAAAGCTCGGAAGTTCGAGCTTGGCTACTTTTGATTGCAGGTCTTTCAAGCAGTCGAGGTGCTGAGCTGATGTCTGATATAAAGAATTAAGGTTAATAAAAAATGCTAATAAAGATAATAACATTAACACCCCATTTTTTTTGGTAAATTCTTTATTGGGGTAAATGTATTTATCGTAAGTATTTTTTAAGAAAGATTTATCAGTGCATTTATCCATGTTCTTTTATTTCCTGTATAAGTAAGGTAATAATCATTTGGCCATAAAAATCCATTATTAAAAGGGATATTTTTGTTCTATTTAAATAATGACACTTTTTTCCCCCAAAGTGGAAAAGTTATTTACCCACCTAGGAGATGGGTATACCCGAGAAAATAAACTTTCCTTAGCCCCTAGTGGCGGAGCCAGGAAATTTCTCTTAGAGGGGCTAAGTTAAACAAGAAAATAAGATGAGTAGAAGGGGTAGGGTGTATAGGAAAATGGGGTGAAAAGGTTTGGGTCTATTATATATATATATATATACAAAACATTTTAATTTTGGGAGTTGGAGGAGCATTAGAGAGTGATCCTACATTTTAGGTCAAGGACCCCGTCAATATACTTGGCTCTGCCCTTGTTTGGCCCCTACATAAATCTGAAAAAAGAACATGGGTTTCTTGGTGAATGGGAGTCAAAATCCCATTGACCAACTTCCCCCCTCTCAAAATCCAGAAAAAAAAAACAAAAAAAAAACACCCCCTAATAGGTATAAAGAAAATAATAGTTGTTTCTGCTTGGTTTGACAACAAAGGGATGGTGATTGGTGATGACTGGATGAACTTTGAATTTGTGGCAACCTCCTATCAATTTAATTAGTATTAGATGGGAATCGGCAAAGTTGAAATTTGATATAAAGTCCCTATCTGTTTTTTGGTAAGTTATTTATTCATATAAATGTACTTACCTAGATAAGTGTTTATTGGAAAATATTTATCTAGATAAATGTATTTATCTATGTTCTTTTATTTTTCAGGTAAATAAGATAATATTAAAAGTAACAATTTTATCACATCCAAGTATTGCCAACTTTTCCCCAGGTGGAAAAATTTTTACCCATCTGGTTTGGCCATGTATCCACTTTTCATTGGGACATGGATTATGGTGCATCAACACATCTTCAATAAATTTATCAGAAAAATCATTTATACTACTTTTTTGGCATTGATAAAATATAAAGTCAATCATATATAATTAATTTTCTTCATTTTTATTCTTTCCCGTGTTTTTAAACATAAAATAAAATGAGTACAATCAGTCGTGGGATTCCCCCACGTTTCCAAAACACAATTCTTATACCCAGAATACTATTACCAAATAATTCTGAGCTTGCCTTATTTTTTTATTATTTTTTTTATACAATTATATCGGACTCTACCGCCACAAGGTTGCTTAATCCCATGTCAATTTGCTCAAACTCTTCTGCCTCAAAAATGTTCATCTTGATTTTGGGGTTCATATGATCTCTAATTACATATGAAAATGCCAACTAATCTTTGGGGTTAAATCTTAAATGCTTCTAAGTCACTGAACAAAGGCATGAGAAGAGAATATTGTTGCCAACTCCATGCCTCCTCAGTATCAGTGCACTGTTTGATACATCTACACTACAAAAAAATGATCAATTAAAAATGCTTTGGTGACTCATGGGGATCTTGTGTAAAACATCTCTCAGGCCAAAAGTTGAATGATCGAGTCAAATTTATTAACAGTTGCTTATGGCTGCACTAATTAACCATTTTATCCCTTTTCTTTATTAACTACCCCCTTTGAGCCAACTGTATTTTCAGTTTATGATTTGTAATTGTGGCAAGGAAGAGCTTGGGTGGAAAATCTTATCCATCTCCAACTTCCCAATTCAAGGGTTCGTATTGCAGCCCACAAAAATGGTTAATTAGGCACAAGACACTACATCTGTACATTGGAAACATCTATTATCTCTTTCTTATCTCTTATAATTGATAGGGGAAGAGGGGTTTCGATTATGATATCAGAAAAACTTGCTGCCAATGAATTGGTATCATAAAAGAGGTGATCAATCAATATGATTGATATTCATCAAATTCACGGGGGTGGCTTTTGATCGGTCAAATCTCTTCTGGTACTAATGTCTTTTCAGTATTATAGATTTCTAGATGTGAGGCTAGCTGTAGTGTCTTGTGGGTAACATATCCATACACTCAATTCAAGTATTATTCACCTGCTGGTCACTAATGTCATATCACTGACCATGGGATGCAATTCGAGTTGGCTCCAATTAATATTTTGCACTGCTTCGGGTTCAAACATTTGGGCTGGGAACGTTCAGATTTTGACAAAAAAAGAAAAAAAAAAAACACAGTACGTTACATCCCTATAATTAGGAACGGGTTTAAATTCCATCCGCTCCATGGCCAGGTTGGAGAAGAGTCATCCAGAGCGGACCAAACGTGGAGTAAATTGGGCCATAGCTTTTTTATATGTAGAACCCATTCTCTTTGTTGTCATGTGGGTTCATCGTCCTGTTCAGTTTTAGCAGTATTATTATTTCCCTCCCCCATTTCACTCGTATAGTGACTTAGTCACTACCGCGCGCCTAGCTATAATAATTATGCAGAGCCATGCATTCGATTCGATGGTCAAATAAAGATAGAGAGAAGAGGACCAATCACCCCATGTACGTGGTTTGTTTGTTGCCAACCTAAGAAAGACTCGTCGTTTGTCCGCCCACAAATTCCCCAATTTCTTCTTACCGTCAAAAAACATCCAATTAGATACAAACAACAACCTAAAATTAGATACAAAAAATCATGGTTTTTGAATTGCTGTTGATTTAGATGATTGGACCGTTTGGCCCAGGAACCATTTAGGCAATCAGTTCTGTTTTACCCCAAACTCGATTCCTAGTCAAAAACCATTGAATCAGTCAACGGTCCATTGATCTAGGTGATCGATTTGTCGATCCGTTTAAAACTTTTGGCCATTTTTATTTTTTAATTTTTTGTCAGAATAGGCCATCCGTTCGAACCGAATAGTTGAATCATCGACCTAGAAACTGGTGGCCAAAATTGTTCCGTTTCTAGGTCGTTTTTTAAAACCATGCAAAAAAGGAATCCTTAGGATGCAAAGTAGGGTTGTTCATAACAAGACCCAAATTGACCAACCTGGTCCGATCCAACCCAAGTTGGCCGGTTTTTCTTCAGCACCGGTCGGTTTTGGGTTACAGAGAAACATAAACCGATGGTTCGGTTTGGTTTCGGTTTTTGTGTGTGAAAACCGAAACCGAACTGACTTAGATATATTATATATATCTGATATATTTCAGTTTTAATATATATATATATATATATATCAATTTTAATATATATCTGATATATATATTTCAGATATATATTTGTGGAAATATATATATATATATATATATATATTTATTTTAGCTTTATTTGGGAAATATACATATTATATATAAAATTTCAGCTTTAATCCATCAAATCATTTTTAATTTCCAGGCATCTAGCCTTCGCTTCTTAGACTTGAATCTTTACCATTCACACCGGGAGAATCATTCACAAAACCGACCCAAACCGATTCAAATCGATCAGGTCGGTTTTACTTAGTATTGGGTCGGTTTTGGTTTCATTTCTAGGTAAATCGACCAGGTCGGGTCGGTTGGAAAAACGCCAATAAACTGACCCAACCTGATCCGTGAACAGCCCTAATGCAAAGCATACTCTCAAAACCAGTATTTTGGAATCATTATTGATTTAGATGGTTGGACCGTTTAGCACGGAAACTGTTCAATTCCGTTTCACAGTTAATTCATTTGTTGGCCAAAAACCATTAACTTGGTTAGCAACCTACTGATCTGGGCGATCAAATCATCAACTCATTCAACAGTTTTTAATCATATTTTTATTTTTTCAATTTATTT